AGCCACTCCTCGGAAGGAAGGTTGGGCAATGCTACTTCCGTAGTGATACTGCCTCGGAAACCCAAGGAGGGGTCGCTATGAGTCGGGGCCGACTCACGGCAAACAACAACAACAACAACATTGATTGAATTCCTACCATGGGCTGGGCCTCGTACTCACTGTGTTAGGTGTGTTCTCCCAGCTAAGCCTCTATGCAGCCCTGTGCCACAGGTACATTTCCAAAGATGTCTCAATTTGTGGTCAGTGTAACAAGATCAATTAGGATATTGAGACTAGACAGGGGCTAGAGGAATAGCTGTTTCTAAAGCACTTTGGCCAATCAGGTGGCACAAGGATCAAGTTTTTTCTTCTGCATTACCATAAAGAAAACAAAGGACAATGGCAGCCAGTGGTTGGTTCTGTGATTCAGGCCCTGATTGCTCTCACATGACTCAGTATTCTTCTGCTTCACAGAGCACGGCTCAGTGGGTTCTTTGTGGCCCCAGAGACGAATAATTACACTTTCTGGATCCAGGCAGACAGCCAAGCCACCCTGCATTTCAGCTGGTCAGAGGATCCAAGGACCAAGGTATTCACCTTCCTTTCGTTTTCCTTCTTCTTTCATCCTTAGTCCATCACTCCCAAAACAAACAAACTAACAAAACAAACAAATGAAAAACACACACCAAAACTAAAGCTCTTACATGCTACTGATGGTTGTAACGTGCTGTTAGGTGACCAGAGATTATAATTGGTGAAAAATAATTTGGTTGAATGTAATGGCACTTCCATTTATTGAGCACTTACTGAAAACCTGGTGGTGAAGTGCCTAAGGTGTTTGTCTGCTAACCAGAAGGCTGGTGGTTCAAACCCACCAGCCACTCCTTGGAAGGAAGGTTGGACAATCTACTACCATAGTGACACCACCTTGGAAACCCAAGCCGGGGTCACTATAAGTTGGGTCTGACTCCATGGCAGTGAGTTTGGTTTTGGTTTGGTTACTGTAAACCTGGCATTATGTTAGATCTTTTATATACCTTGGCTGTATATAAAAATTGTGCATATATATATATATAACCTTGCCCTTGAGCAGAGAATCGCTAAAGCAAATGGAAGAAATGAAAAGGTAAAAGAGCTGAACAGAAGATTTCAAAGAGCAGCTCGAGTAGA